GGACAGCAACTGACTGAAAATTGCACGTTAAATAAGGTGGCAAGTAGTCTCTCTCACTCTGCTTCTTGGCTAAAAGCCACAACTTAAATACACTGGTGTGCAAAACTTAAGCAACAATGCAAATTTTAATCAGATAACCACGCAGTTGCAGAAAAGGGGTTCTTGCTATCAGTACAATGAACATGCAATTCAGTAGAAAGGTCATGCATATGCAAATGTCAGGCTACGTGATCGTACGCAAAACGCATGCACTCCACTCGGGATTACCATAAAAAGAAGGACGGAGACGCAATTAAAGATATTCGCTGTAAGTACAAGTGAAATCTTTCATGAAATATGGCTAGAAGAAATCATCTGGATGACTTCATGAGTGGAAGAATGATCGGAAAGCTGGAGGAGGGGCTTAGTGTGACCAAAGTGGCTGAAGATTTCGAAGTCAACAAAAGTGTTGTTTCGCGGGCTTGAAAAGCCTTCCAAACCATAGGTACAGCTATTAGAAAGGTTGGTGTTGGCCGCTCCAGGGCAACAACTGCAGCAGATAACCGATATATCATCTATCATCTTACAGGCGAAAAGAGCCCAAAACCAGTCAACAAGCTCCACAGCTCAGCAACTGGCGACAATTGTCGTGGTTTACTGTGTCTAGACACCTTCACAAAGATGGTCTATTCTCCTGCTGTCCGGAACGCTGCATCCCTTTGAAAGTTGGCCATCGACGCCACCGTTTAGAGTGGTGCAAGGAGCGCAAAAACTAGGCATCTCAACAATGGAGTCGTATCCTCCTTATGGATGAGAGTCATTTTAGTGCCCCAAGCGATTCTCAATGCCAACTTATTTGGATAGAGGTAAGGACACGGTTTAATCTCGGTAACATCACGGAAAAAGACCATTACGGTATCCTGGAGATCTTGTCAGGAGAGGCATTATGCTGAATGGGCGGACAGAGCTCCACGTTTTCGACAGAAGTTCTGTAACCGGAGATTGCTATTGTCAGGAGGTGATCCTTCCCTTATGTGCGTCTGTTCCGAGGTGCAATTGGACCAGACTTCGTTTCTATGGCTGACAATGCACGGCCACACCAAACTCATGCTGTTCAGAAGCTACTGAAAAGTGAAGATATCACTAGAATGGATTTTCAGCGTACTCCCCTGATTTAAATCGGATAGAACACATGTTGGATGCTTTGGGGAGATGCCTTGAGGCACGATTACATCCTCCGGCGAACACCCAACAACTGAAACAAATGCTGATTGAGGAATGGGCACTCTCACCTCAAAATCTGTTGGACAATCTGGTGCTGAGTATGGGGAGATGGTGAGAAGCAACCATTGCAGTAAGTGAGGGCATATCCGATACTAAGGAACATCTGCTTATTGTTCTTCCTCTTATACAGACAATCATGTGTAATGATACTATAAGTTCAATAAAGCCTGTTTTTGTTTAATTCCATACTGTATGCATTGTATTCATTTTTGCACAATTATGCTTTCGTCATCGTTTAAATACAAAATGTTGTCTCTTATTTCTGAATTTCATGTCTCGCAGATGATATCTCATGGATTTATGTCAAAAAGAACACCTGTTGCTTAAGTTTTGCAAACCAGTGTACTTAACAGTTTACAAGCTCAATTTGCATACTAAAACTAACCGTGTTTATCCTCGCCGGAAGTGGAAAGCAAGAGGGGATAGTAAAGTTTTTAAAATAAAATAAACGTTAGTAAAACTTAAAATCCTTACAAGGTATTTAAGTACAATGTTTTTGAGTCTGAGAGACAGCTTTCAGCAATTTTTTCTTACCGTCATGCTAATACTGCATGTAAATGGATGACTTAAATGAGCTTTAGCTTTGCTAGCAGTAATTGCTCATGAAAGTTGAAGGTCTGCAACAAAGATTGTAGATTTCATTGTAATTTAATATTTAAATTTTACATTAACATTTTTCTGAATTTAAGTCATCTGACTGTTCTTATGATTCTAGGAATTAACATTCAGAATAGTGTTGATCTAGGTAAAAATAACATGCTGAACAAATATTAATTTAGAATTCAAACAATAATGACCCTAATTCCAATCTCCAATTCCAGTGTTCTAGTTAACGACCCTAATTCCAATCCATCTTTACCTTCAGCATTTAAGGAAGTTATGTTTTAGTTTTCTTGTTTCATCAATAGATGGTGTCAGTAGCTTAACTCTTGTCCAGCCATTATTATCTTATCTCGTTCATTTGCTCTTTGGCAGCTGAGGAGGATGGATCTGTAAAAACCATCGAAACTAGTCCTGTGAAAAATTGCAAATACAATGCTGATTTTTGTTCTTTGACTTCTAAATTAACCCTTAGGACTCCTGTGTCGAGTGTGGCTTGACATCGTGCCAGACTCGATATTATACATTGTATTTTCTAAAATAATTTTAAATGTTAAATCTATTTTTTTTTCTTTCAAATATTTTGTAGCCTTGAATCAAGCGAAAACTTTTTCCAGTGAATATGAAAGTAGTGATGACATATGTGTGACTCAAATAGATAATAAACTCTAATTATTGGAAGATGATATAAATTTTACAAAAGCGTCCGAGTTATTGTTTTTGGTTCCTTTTCAAAACGAGGCTGATTCTGCTGATAATTTTTGTAAGAAAATTTATAAGCGATAAATGAGGATAGCAATGAACAACCATCTATTTCTACATATAATAAGTAGTTTGTTGGAAATGATGAAACATTATGGACAAATGTCACTGAAGAAGACAATTATCATCATAACATAAAACTCTTAGTTAGTGAAAATGTTGTTGGGCCACAAGTTCCATCTAGCTACACATCAGCTCTAAAATTTTTTTAGTTGTTTTTGGCTTCTACTCTACTAAAAAACAGTGAGTGAAACTAATGCATACCAAACAAAAATAATATCAGAAAAAACACTGAGCAAATATTCCATTTGGTAAAATTGGAAAGATGTAACTGGGAGTGAAATAAGAGCCTTTCTTAGTGTCATCGTAAATATGAGCCTTGCTGTTTCACCAACTTTGGAATCGTACTGGTCTCAAGCATTTCATTTGAAGATGTCATCTTTTAGAAAAATTTTTTTCACACAAACGTTTTTTCCAAATATTTTGGTCACTACATTTGGAAACAATTTCACCAAACACTCAAAAGACAAAGACAAGGATAGAAAAAATGAGCAACTTTCTGGATTATCTAAACCAAAAATTTATGGAAAATTATATACCTCGTAAAAATTTGGCAGTTGACGAATCTACAATCTCCTTCAAGGGGAAAATAATCTTTCTCATGTCTAACCTTAAAAAAAAAAAAACCAACAAAATGGGGACTTTATGTTTTAGCAGATTCTAAGACAAGTTATTTATATACTACATTTGTTCCATATTATGGTAAAATTACAACAGATAGCTTAATTAGACCAGATCTTAATTTCACTAGCCGAATTATGACGCAACTCTATTGAAATTTACGAAATTTGATTCCTGAAGGTATCATATTTTTACTGACAGATTTTATACAAATCCCACTTTAGGTGCAGAACTTCTAAAACCCAATTACGTTCTTATTGAAACAATTATGACCAATCGAAAAGGATTCCCAGAACAACAACAACAAAAAAAAAAAAAAAAAAAAAGCAGAATTAACATTGGACATAAAATTGTGTATGAAAAAGGAAAAACATTAGTAGCATGGCGTGACAAAAGAGTGGTCACAATATTTAGTACAAAGCAATCTTCTGTTTCACAACCTGTGAAGAAAAGATCAAAGATGACTGAAAGTGATAGTGAAAAAGAAATAAACAAACCGTCTATCATATTAGATTATAGAGAAAATTTATTGATGAATCTAATCAAAGACTGTCGTGTTCCTGCACAAAAAACCCAGCCAATTATCCACAGATGACACTATCTAATGTTTAGATAGGAAGACTCATTTTATTTATTTTACACACCTTACACAAGGACTGTATGGTGTGTTCCAACTGGAAGGTCAAAGGAGGGAGAAAAGAAAACATTCTATTGTGGTACTTGTGATAGAAAACCCAGTCTTTAGCCAGGAGAATGTTTTTAAAAATATCATACTTTGAAAAATTATAAATAATTAAAGTAAATAAATTGGTTAAATATATAAATTGACATTTATTTACTATCATACTACTTAATATACTCGAAAAAATATCTATTACAGACTGCACTGTTGCAATACAACCTTTTATTGACACCCTCTTTTTTTATCTATTTGGTAAATGAATTAAAGAGTTGTTGGTTAGTAAGGGGAAAAACATTAAGGAGTGGAAAGCATTAATAGTTTTGATCTGTTCAATTTTTACATAAGATCTGGAATTAAATTGTCTCAAAAAACCTTCTAGTTTAGGAAACTCTCATTAAATCTGAAATTTGATGTGCAGGTAAAAAAGCTCTTTTATCTGCCATCTTTTAATGAAAAGCTAAACAAACAGGCTTCATCCCATCATCTTAATGTTAAACAATCTGACTGATATCCAAGAATTAATTTTATTGAAAGCAAATGGCATTTTTAGCAGTTGTTTAATTTTTAGGTATCTATAAGGTATTAGCCAAAATTTAATGAAAGTATTATTATGACAAGCAAGACAGGAGTTTTTCTTTTAATTGATAAATAAGCAAGCAAAAGAAACAGATGGCTAACATATTTAACAGAGTGTGTGTGTGAGCCCCATATAGTGTGCAACTCATTACATTGATAAAACATAATTTCAGTATGAGAGAAAGGCAATGTGTGAAGATTATGTTTTATTTAAGCCCCATAAAATGTTCTTCCTTTTCATTCTTAAAAATGTTTGCAGTTCTTAGTAAACCACAGAAATTAGCTCTAGGCAGGACTTAAGCTTTGAGACCTTTTATTTCTGAATGAAATGGGACATTCCCTCCACTCTCCCCCCAAAAAATTGTTTGCACTGCATTTGTTTTTTATTTAGAAATGTGTTATTTAGTAGTATTCATTGAATGCTTTTTCGTTTTAGATTTGGTCTTGATGTGGATTGCATAGAAGATATGTTACCTGCTCTTTTTGCAATAGTAAGGAACTACATCCCTTACATAACCTTGCCTATCTCCATTGCTATAGGAGTAATTGGATATAATATTGAGGGATTGTTATCAGATAAATATACACCTACTAAAAAAGTCAGCGTAGAAGAAGAGAGACTTGAAAGACAGCTAAAAGAAATGGAAGATAAACCAGCTGTTGATAGCTTGAAATCAAAGAAATTTGTACCTAAAACTGTATTTGAAAAAAACATACCTCCATAATTATTAGTTCAGTGAAATACTCTAAAATTTGAACTATCATCTTTTAATCTCACTCTTTGAAATGGATTAATTTGTGATATTCTAAAAATTTTCATGTCTTACATTTTCATGTTCCTTTCATAAGACTCCTCAGACATACATTAACTGGATTAATGACTGCAGATTTTGTTTTCTCAACTAAATTATCATGCCTGTATTTCAAATTATTGCTACAATGTTATGCTTAGTTATTATCAAAAATAAGGAATAAAGAATATAATTTACATAAATATTCATAGTTTTCATTATATTAATGGCAGCTATATTTAGAATTTACAGGATCTTGAACCAAAATGGATGTGATTTTTAAGCCATTATGATAAGGTATAATATTTTGCTCACTTCTTTGATATAGATTGTTCTTCATATTTTGGCAGAGGAAATATAACTTGGATTCCTAAGCCATCCTACACTTATGTGTAGGAAATTGTACTTCTTAATAACCAATCAAGAATAAATATCAAATTCTATTGTTAAAAAAAACTTGGGTTTGAATGCAAAATATTTGAAAAAATCAAATGGGTTATTACTTGCTTCATGCTGTTTATTTTATTTTAAAGAGGTTAATTGCAATTCTTAATACTCATGCATTAAACACTAAATTTGACCAATGAGTTTTTGAAAATTTAACAAACAATTTAGATTATCCGCTTAGAGAAGCATAGAGACTTTTTTGAGTGAAGTTTTTTTATTTCATTAACTTTACCATGGTGAGACTCTTTAATATTAATACTCACTATACCATTAGCAAATGCAAATGTTGAACTTTTAACATTGATAGGCAAACAGATATCCAACAGCTATAATTAATTTAATTTTAAATTGAAAATTTTGTAGAAAGAAAAGGCTGAACTTACTAATATTAATTGCTATAGAATTTCAGCATGAAAAGTTCTTAATAAAATGAAGAACAGTTTTTTATCTAAATTTGTGTAATAAATTTTAAAAATATATTTGTTTGATAGTATTATAATATTGTGTAATCGGAGATTAATTGCAGATAATCTAGAAGACTGAAGAAAATTTTAAATAATCAATAAAGATTGTTAAAATCTTCCTGTATTCCAAATACCTTGTATTTTTTGTGTCTGTCTGTTATGCAAATAGTAATGTTTAGCACTTGAAAGTATTTGTTTCCTTAATTTCTTTCTACGTAATCTATAGTCATTCTCATGCTTGCTGCTGGTAGCAATGGAGCTAACACTATGAAAATATGATAACTCTTGTTCACCTCACCTTTATCAAATTAATTACACCTAAGTTTGGTGAAAAATTGCTTACATTTTTATTCCGTTGTGTTGCTTTTAAAAATCTGTTTGATCACTATTTTTGTTAGAAAAGTTTAATTTGATAAATTTAATTTTTGCAATTATTGTAAGTGTGAAACAACTACCTGATTTAAAATATAATTTTTTCATCCTAGATTGTAATTTTTTTAAATTCTTTTTTCAATCTGTATGGTGAAATAAGAATAGTGTAATTTTTTAGCTTGAGTTGAATTTATATTTAACTAAAAAACTTTCTAACTAGATATTAAATAAAAAAAATACTTTCTGGATATCTAAAAATATTATAGTGAGCATAAATTTAAAATCTTATGAGTAAGTACTCATAAGATTTGCAGTATATGTAATAGTTTCTTTGTGCTGCCATATATATATAAAATAATAAATTAGCACTGGTAACTGATAAGGTTGTGGTTCCAATATATTTCTTTGGTTTTGTTTTAAATTTTACTGACAATCAACACTTGTCTCAAATTTCAGAGTGAAAGTTAGAAGTGGAGGCTTTCTGTCTCACTACGCTCCAAAAAATGAGCCACAAAATGAATGGAAAAGTGACTGTAGCATGCTATTATCCTTTGAATGATGAGGATAACCATGAAGAACAATTTTGTGATTGGAATTATTATAAACTTTTTTGGCTTTAAAAGTTATTCTTTGGGCCTTGGTAATGGTTCTTTTTATAACTTTAGAATTTGGAGCTCTTATTTTTTGCTACATCTATTTTTTTTACATTATATTCTGTAATTTTCACAAATTAATAAGCCAGATAAGCTGATTTCATATTCTGTTTTTAATCCACACTGGAAATCCATTGATGGGAGACTCACTGCTCAGCAGTTTGATAGGGAAATTAAATTTGGAATTGGGTGTTTTTATTGAACTTTTAATTTCTTTTTTAAAGTAATATTAATAGGACATGCTTTAATTTGCACATACACAAAATAAAGTTTCACAATACTACATATTGAAACTTTGACACGTGATCCTAATCTTATAGGTTTACCTAAAAAAATTATAATGCCTCAGTTTGTTTTTTGAAGTATTTAAAAATATCTGAAAATGTACATTAAAACTGCAAAATAAAATGTCTATTATATTTTGTAGATTTTTTATAGCAGCTGTTGAAATTAGCACATTAAATACAAAGAATTTCCCAATGGCAATCATCCACAGTTCCAGATGATTTAGGTTTGGAGATGGTTTCATTAGAGAAAAATTACATAATTCAAATGAGGCTGTCATAAGAGGGTTCACTGTATTTTAATTCCTTCAACAAAGCCATAAGTTAAAAAAAAATATCTTATATTATTATTATTTTTGTGTACGGGGTAGGTGAAAATAGTTCTTAAGAAATGAAATATTTAGTTTTCATAATCTGGCAGCTTACTTTCTAGTCAGTAAAATATGTATGTAATTGTAGTTTGTGCATTTTTATTAAAATATGATATTGGTATACTTATGAAAGACAGTTTAAAATTGATAGAGAGACTGCAGATATGTTTGCATTTTATTAAAACATAGTGGTATGCAAATTATGAGAAACAATTTGAAACTGTTACAGAGAGACTGCATAATATTTGCTATAAATAAAAAATGATTTCTGCATATTAGAAATCTGAATCGGGACTTCAGCTATGTGATGAAAGTATAAAGGCATTAAAAATATGTCACAGATTTGTAACCTAGAGAGATAGATGAGCTGTATTTTTTAACCAGCCATTTTTGCTGGAGCAGTCTACCACATAGTGCATCATTTTAATGAAATTAGCTATTAAATTATGAGTACCATATTGTTAGTGTGTGAACTTTTAATATAAGTTTTTAAATCAAATTAAGCTTCTCATCATATCCTTCTGCATTCTTCCACCAGCCTGTAGTACCTAAATAATTGTTTAAGTCAGGCCAACTTGTGGCCAAGGCCATGAAACATCGGCAGTTCAATCCAGGTTTAAATCCTAATGAATAAGCTAGCTGCATTGGTGTTTTTCCCCTGTGCAGCACGAAACTAGTTCTTCCTTAGGCAAATAAGTCGTTGCATACTTTACAGTTAACTAATTCCTTCTTGTTGTTTACATTTTTAGTGTACTGACTGGCATGTGTTTTGTCTGTATCTGAAACGTTAGCTTTCGGTTCCACCCCCATCTCTAAAAAAAGCAGACATTTTTGCACTTCTTTCATAAAAAAAATTACTTTTTTACGTTTCTGTATTTGCTGAATGTTTTATAATTTTCTTTTCATTTATATTTTGAAAAGTACACTGAAGTGACAAAAGTCATGGGATACCTCCTAATATTTTGTCGGTCCTCCTTTTGGCCGGCGAAGTGTAGCAACTCGACGTGGCATGACTCAACAAGTCGTTGGAAGTCCCCTGCAGGAATATTGAGCCATGCTGCCTCTATATACGTCCATAATTGTGAAAGTGTTGACGGTGCAGGGTTTTGGGCACGAGCTGTCGGGCGATCTAGGTGGCCAAATCATTCGCTGGAATTGTCCAGAATGTTCTAACCAATCGCGAACAATTGTGGCCCGGTGACATGGCGCATTCTCATCCATAAAAATCCCACCGTTGTTTGAGTACGTGAAGTCCATGAATGGCTGTAAGTGATCTCCAAGTAGCTGAAGGTATCCATTTCTAGTCAATGATCGGTTCAGTTGCACCAGAGGACCGAATCCATGCCATGTAAAAACAGCCCAGACCTTATGGAACCACCACCAGCTTGAACAGTGCCTTGTTGACAACTTGGGTCCATGGCTTCGTGGGGTCTGCGCCACACTCGAACCCTACCATCAGCTCTTACCAACTGAAATCGTGACTCATCTGACCAAGCGACGGTTTTCCATTCGTTTAGGGACCAACCGATATGCTCACGAGAGTCGCTGCAAGCGATGTCGTGCTGTCAGTAAAGGCACTCGAGTCGGTCTTCTGCTGGCATAGCCCAAGGAAGACAAAATTTCGCCGCACTGTCCTATCGACACGCCTTCGTACGTCCCACATTTTTCTGCGGTTATTTGACGCAGTGTTGCTTGTCTGGGAACATTGACAACTCTACGCAGACGTGGCGGTCTCGGTCGTTAAGTGCAGGTGGTCGGCCACTGCGCGTCCATGTTGGAATGTTATGCCTGAAATTAGATACTCTCGGCACACTCTTGACACTGTGGATCTCGGGAATGTTGAATTCCCTAACGATATCCGAAATGGAATGACCCATGCGTCTAGCTCCAACTACCATTCCGCGTTCAAGTCTGTTAATTCTCGTCGTGGGCCATAATCACGTCAAAGCCCTCTTCAACATGAATGACTTGAAACACAAATGAAAGCCCTGCCAAAGCACTTCGCATTTATACATTTTCTACGCGATACTACTGCCATCTGTATATTTGCATATTGCTATCCCATGACTTTTGTCCCTTCAGTGTATGTGCTTTTGGTAATGTAACTTTAATTTACATTTCTCTTTTTATTACTTTGTATCCTTGAAATATATTTAAACTTTATGCTTATTTGTGTATTTTGTTTTTGATGTAAGTGTTAATTTTTAATTAAACTAACTCTTCTATCGAATTATTATTATTTATAATTTATGCATTTTTATTTTAAGTATGATGTTAATGAACTGAATGTTAAAAAAAATCTACTGTTATCGCTTTAAATTTTGTTAAATTTGGTTATAAAATGAATTTTAAAATTTTGACTGTGCATGTGTATTTATTTATACGTTCTAAAGTTTACTTTATACCAGCTATTTTTCTACATATATACTCATTTTGGGTAAACAGATGCTGTCGGATGAGCATTTCCGTTTTTATGAATGAAAAATGAAAAGTGGACTTAAAATTGAAAGTGAAAATTTAATGAAAAATTAAAAGTGTCTTGAAATGAATGTAATGTAATGTAATACAAGACTGCGCATGCACTGGACAAAGTTGCAAGTTATTTTGCCGTA